ATGCAAATAAAACACTTCATTTAGTCATCTTATGTTCCCTTTCCTGTGCCATGGGAAAGAAGACTTGGTTCCAGTAGTTTTTAAAACGTGGTTGTTAGTTCTTATTCAAATATTATAGAACCAAAATGGTTAAATAATTGGAATGATGTTAGTCAAAGAAAGAACCCAGGGGGATTTGCAATTGACAGATATAATTAGAAGGCAAACAAGATCAAAGTTATGCTATAAAACTGTGTTTAGTTCAATTTTTGCTCAAGCAATAAAACCATGAAACCACACCTTCTTTGATTTTTTCCCCTTGTCCTTTCCAATGTATGTCTGAATGGGCATTACTCATCTGGAAACTTTTTGCACTTAATGTCACAGGAAATTGGACAAAATCTCTACCACCAGCTGAAAACATCAGGACTGTCCTAGGATTTGCTGAATCAAACTGTAATGTGCCAAGCAGATTTTTTTTTAAATTGTATCTTTCAAATCCCAGTGTTAACCCGTTTGTCTACTAGAAAAATGTTGCTCCTAACAAGAAAACAAAAATATAGAAACCGGATAGCAATAGTTCCATATGGGTAGATCTAGTGCATTCACAACTGGTTTGCAAAGATCCATATGTCCATTAGATGGCACTAAAGATAGGATCTTGCAAGGTTTAAATAGATCTCGACTTAAGACCATGACTGAGCCCAAGATTTCTATTGCTAAGCCAGACAGTTGTTAAGTGAGTTTTGTCCCATTTTACGACCTTTCATGCCATAGTTGTTAAATGATCCACTGCAGTTGTTAAGTTAGTGACATGGTTGTTAAATGAATCTGGCTTTCCCATAGACTTTGCTTGTCAGAAAGTCGCAAAAGGTGATCAAGTGAACCTGGGACATTGCAACCGTCATAAAGATGAACTAGTTGCCATATTTATGTGACCACAGGGATGCTGCAATAGTTGTAAGTGTGAAAAATGGTCATAAGTCACTTTTTTCAGTGCTGTTGTAACTTTGAATGGTCACTAAATGAACTGTTGTAAGTTGAGGACTACCTGTATCGTAGCTGATCTAGGCAGTCCTCATAAGTTTGAGGACTACTTGTAAGTAACTTTTTTTAGTGCTGTAAGTCAAGGACTATCTGTATTTTCGCAAATGGCAAGCCATATGCTTGAACGGCTGGAAGCTGACTATTATTCCCTTTCCTTTTTATGTAATTTTAGGAATTGGAAGTAAGAGGTTTGTTGCTTCTGGATATATATGTGTATCTGCTATGCTTGAAAGTTGATAGCTTCCTCCTCCATGAAACTGTCTACATTTCCACATCTCATAATTCATTGAAATTCTGATGTAATATGGTGTATTGAATTAATTCACTTATCTGTGATCACAGAATCAACAATTGTTGTTGTTGTTAGTTGCGAAGTCGTGTCTGACCCATCGTGACCCCATGGACAACGTTCCTTCAGGTCTTCCTATCCTCTACCATCTTCTGGAGTCCATTTAAGCTCACGGCTTTGCTTCAGTGACTCTATCCAGCCACCTCATTCTCTGTCGTCCCCTTCTTCTCTTGCCCTCAATCTTTTCCAGCGTTATTAGGCCCTTCGCCAATGAGTCCTTCCTTCTCATTAGGTGGCCAAAGTATTTAAGTTTTAACTTCAGGATCTGGCCTTCTAAAGAGCAGTCGGGGTTGATCTCCTCTAGGACTGTCCGGTTTGAACACCTAGCAGTCCAAGGGACTCACAGGAGTCTTCTCCAGCACCATAGTTCAAGATCACAGAATAGATTGAACTATATACTTCACTGGTTGGGTGGGTTTAATACTTTGATCCAGAAACCAGCCCAAAAAAATCTAAGTTTCTTCTTTGTGTCTGCTGTTTTTAAGAGATCGGGGTCAAATTAGTAGCCATCAGCACATTCCTGTGGTAGTAAATTCTGTAATTTAACTATATCCCTGAATGAAAAACATATCCTGTCATAAACCCTAATTTTTTTCCCTACTCTTCAGTTTCATAACATGATCTCTTAGTTCTAGCATTAGTAAAGGGAAAAAAGTGTCTTTTCCTCCTCTTTTCTCATACTGAATCTTCCTGTTCAAACTATCTCTTGTTACCTTTTTTCTAAACATTGGCAGACTTCACACAATATAGTAAACCTGCTTCTTTTAAATTTATTTATTTAATGTTAATTTTGTATGCTGCCTGACTCCAATGACTCTTGGGGATTAATGTGTAAGAATAATGTAAAGAAAAAGATACAACGAGGAACAAACTAAGGAAGAAAAGATAAAGAATAATTTGTTGGCTAAGCCCCATAATCCATGGTTCATAATGCCTGATATGACAAATCTCACTAAACCAAAACTGATCAAAGCAGATTATGGCTTAATATGATGAATGAAACCAGCCACTGGATTCCCCCCCCCCATATTAGTTACTTCAGCATTTATTTTATTATTCTTATTTTACTGTATAGGATTGCCTGGTATCCGATATATCTTCTTCTTTAAAACCATTAATTGGTATAAAGGTATTGTTTTTCTTTCAGTCTTTTTCTGAGATGATTTTTCACCTGGTCAGTATTTTCGTAGAATTGCAGAGTTGGAAGCAGATTTTTGGGGGGATGAGGAGGTGCATGGGAAGGTCTGAATTTCTGCAAACTATACGTAGATGTTGGTACTTGGGCTACATGATAGGAAGTCAGCAATCATGTGAATAGCTTCTCAAAAGTTAATTGCAATCCTGGAGGATATTTTCTGAACCAGGGCCCAAGAGGGTATTGAGAGTGATATGATTTTTCCTTTATATTTTTGTTTCCCCTCTTCTCTTTCTGACACCTATTGTATTTGGAATCAGCAATATTATTATTGTTCTTATTATATAGTTGGGTTACCCACTTGGAGCAGCATATTAAGATACCTTTTATTAATAATTAATAAATTATTGAGGTGGCGTAGCAGTTAGAGTGCAGTACTGCAGGCCACTTTAGCTGACTGTGTTCAGCAGGTCAGCGGTTCAAATCTCACCGGCTCAAGGTTGACTCAGCCTTCCATCCTTCCGGGGTAGGTAAAATGAGGACCCAGATTGTTGGGGGCAATGGAAATATACATTGCTTACTGGTGTACATCGCTTAGAGAGTGCTTGCACTTAAAGCGGTATATAAATCTCATAAATAAATAAATAAAATAAATAAATCTAGCTTGGGATTTTCTATGCTGATTAACAGAAGCTCTTAGGTTCCAAACTGAGGTCTACCGAGAATTGTGGTATGTTTTATTACAATCCCTTCCAACTTCTCTCTCAACTTCTGTATCTTGGGTTTTCTGTCTCAATTTGGTGAAGGAGACATATCCTGTAAGATTTGCAAGAGCTTATTTTTCAGACAGGTGTTTCTACAGTTGATTAATATTTATGTCCTTTTATTCATGGATAGAAGGTTTATTCTGAAAATGACTGTCAACAGGGTGCCATGTTCAGAACAGAGTTTCAAAATATTTTCTGTTAAGCAAGCTGTTGAATTCCTTAACAGAAAGAGGATGATCAAGGAAGCAAGACCATATGGGCTTTCTTTAATGAGTTACGTTCAGAGGGTTTTCAAAAATCTTGAAAATGAGATAAAAGTCTTCCAGCCCTCCTTTATCGCAGATGTCATTAAGGCAGGATCTCTCTGAAGCTTTTAAATCTTTTTCCCAAGCTGTTTATATGACAGGCTAAGAATTAATTTCTCCCGATATGTCTGGAGTAACTTCTCCCATCTGCTAATCCTTTGTGTCTGGACATCTTCTCCTCCCTTCTGAACCTCAGAGCAATCTCTCACACAACCCATTAGATGTGCTGACTAGGAGGACTCATCATCTGATAGAATTGGAGGGCATCCACTAGGAGAAGTCTATTCTTAAAAGATCTGTGGCTGCATGTTTCTCTTTTGCTCTATTTTATGCATGCATGTATGCATATAAATATAAATGTGGGCCTTTGATAGATTTGGAACAGAAGGTAGTGATTTTCTTGGTTGTTGAGCTTCAAGACAGATGATGTCCTAAAATAGAAGGGTGTAGATGATCGGTAGAACAGAAGCCTGTAGATGTTCAGTGAAATTGCTCTGTTATGATAAATTTCTTAAAGTGGAAATATTTAGAATGTCGTCTCTTGTATTTTTAGTGTCACAGATGTTCATTTGTGGGTAAAAGTTACAAATCAGAAGACCAGGATAATTTTATAGGGCAATATTATTTAAAAGATTCAACCACGATTCTTAAGATCATGGTGAGTTATCTTTATGTGGCAGGGACATTGAATTTGGTTTGGCAATTGCCTTTAGGAAAACATTAGAAATTAGAAGGACGTACGTGAAACCAAGATGGTTGGTTGGGAAAATTAAGTTTTATACTGAGAACTGGGGTTCAGTAAATGCCTAAATCTAACTGTTTTTAGATAGTTTTCTCAATATTTTCTGGTCATTTAAATACAGTAAGAAATCCAGTTGATAAATAAAATTCTCTCCCTCATCCACTCCTTTGTTTCTTAAGCGGCAAATCAAATACACTTGGTTTGCTTGTAGCTAGCAAATAAATGCAGCACTGTTTCTAAACTCCAGATTTTTTTTAATAGTCTGAGTGGCTTACCTCTCTATATCTAATCAAGAAGCCTAAAACAGTTGCTATATGGGCTTCATTTTATCATGCTAAAACAAACAAAAAAAGCCTCCCCCATTTAAACAGAAGGATTAACATTTGTCAGTGCTCCCCAACAGGAACCACAGCTGTCCATTAAATGTGGTGGACATTTCCAGCATGCAAATCAATTTTTCTGGTACTGGGGGATGTGGTGAATAATGACTGGGTTGTTTCAGAAAGCATGACTGATTTGGGATGAAGATTCCTGCCCCTCTGACATTTTCACAGGGTAATTTATTACACGCAGCATATAAAGTGATGGTCATCAAGTCTTGCTGGCAGACTCAGTAGAAGGAACGTTCTCCAAGACTCCATCACACCAACAGCGGAGTTTTTTTTTTTTTTTTTAGCAGAAGACCCTCATTCTAAGGAGCAAGCAATGTTGAGTCATATGCTACTAAAGGACATCCTCAACTGGAGTCTCCTGCTTTTGCTTCTGTTTCTTCATTTTTGCCTGGGCGAAGAAGAAATCATGGAGGTGAGCAGAAGAGATAATAATCCAGTGGCCAAAGTTTTGGAGAGCCACCACCAGACTGGTCATAAAGGTTCCAGCAGCAGGGAAAACTTGAGACAGCGGAGCCAACTGTATAAGTGGACGGTTGAGGCAGTTGATGGTACTAGTCCTTCTACTGACCAAAATGCCTTGAAACCAGAAGTAGATGATGTAGCACAGACTACTTCAGACAGAGTCCAGGTACTCTGAATTAATATTCTAAGATGCTGTTCAGAAAGTATGTGAGCTTTTTATTATATGTCAACATTAGTACTACCTTTCTCAAGAGCAATGGGTTCCTAATGATAGGGTGACCATGCTACGCATGGACGTCTTTCAGGATAGGGCTTTTCTTTTCTATGAACTTAATTGTCCATACAGATGTTTTCCCCCCACTTTATGACATCAACTATCTTTAATCTACCAATAATTCAAAATTATGCATGTTTATTTAGATGTAAGTCCCAGTGTATGGATTTACATCTTAATGGGGCAATCCAATCAATGTTAAGCATTTCAGATCATAGTAAAAATTATGGGACTTGGTTAACTTTCTATAGATTATGCCATAGTGATACATTAGAAAGGTTATGAGAAAAATACCTTGCATTGGAGCAATTTTGTTCAAGATGCACAGGATGCATCAAACAGGCTGTCAGACATGAAGGAAGGACTGCATACTTCAGTGGTATAAGGAAAAACTCTCAGTATTTTTCAATGCATCTTTATGTAAATTGGTGTAAGGTTGTAATTTGCACATTTACTGGAGACAGTTCTTAATTGAAAGTAGAATTTATGTAGAGGATATTGTTCATAAGAATGGCAAAGGAGAACACTTATTTTTAGAGAATATGCTTTATAATTTAAGTGCTTAAATATACTGCCCTATACTCCTTTCTCAGCTCAATTAATGTTAGACACCAGAATTGCTGTGCTTATTGTTGTTGTTATTATATTTTTAAAATCACTTAATTAAAAACAGCTTTACTGTATGGAATTTACTTCAAATAGAAGTAAGTAGTTCAGGCTGTTCTTTAGATGAACAAAACTATTTTATAGAAGAATTTTCAGATAGCAGGTATTAGAGATGGGTCAATGAGTGTAATCATTGCATATACATTAATTGAGATATGAATAAAGAGACAAGCAAAGTGCTTTTTTTGTATTGATTTTGAATTGTATCCATGTTTAAACTAATGCTTTTCTTGGCAGAAAAGGGGTTTCCAATTGAAATGTCATTGCATTTGTGGTGATCAATGTTCAGTTCCTACTGTAGTGCTTGAAGCTCAGTTATTAATAGTGTAGTTAAGCAGTGGCAAACTCCAACTTTAGATGTACATTGGGGCCACTGTTTTGACTTTGTGGACCATACCCTGTAGATCAGTGGTTCTCAACCTTTCTACTGCTGCGACCCCATAATACAGTTCCCCATGTTGTGGTGACCCCCAACCACTTATACATCACCGGGTGCCAGGGGCGTGGCCAAAGAAAAGGGGGAAAAAATGGCAGACAGCCTTATTTGGCAACCCCTGTGAAATGGTCGTTCGACCCCAAATGGGGTCCCGACCCACAGGTTGAGAACCACTGTTGTAGATACTCTGTGAGGTGGCCTAACTGTGAAAGCAATCATGCCAGGCCTGATCTTTAACTAGGGCTACCATATCTGGGCTGCAAAAAGACCAATGACCACATGTACTCTCTTTGCTGCCATTTAGAGATTGTCTATATTTTTGCAGCCCAAACATGGTAGCTCTATATTGTTGATGGTTGGAGAATGGATTTTGCTTGGAAATTTAGTCAACTGTCCCCTGGAATTTCCTCCTAAGAAGGAATAAGTTACAGTCAATTGCATGTGCGTACTGTTCTCTGAAGCATTCTGCTCTTGGCTGGAGCTGTTTATTACTAAGTGCCTTTATTAAAATGGGACCACTGATTTAATATGTTATTTGTTTGATCCAATCTTTGCCATGCCTCATTTTTCAGGTGCAATGCACAGGCATTTCTCTCTATAAGTGATTAAGAGACATGTGATTTGCTATTGATGGCCCTGAAAGAAAGGCTTTTATTTATCACCAGATAACAAGCTTACAGAAGAATGAGGCTCTACAGAGGTGGAATGGTCTCTTTATGCGGCAATGAAGGAATGGGGTCTGTTGCTGCAGATAATCTGTTACAGGTAGTCCTTGACTTACAACCATTTGGTTTAGTAACCATTCAAAGTTACAAAAGTGCTGAAAAAAAAATGACTTACATACATTTCCTTGAACTTACAACCATCATAGCATCCCTGTAGACACATGATCAAAATTTGGCAACCAGCAGGGATTTATGATGATTGCAAAGTCCCAGGATCACGTGATCACCATTTACAACCTTCCCAGCTGACTTCTGACAAGCAAAGTCAATGAGGGAACTAGGATTCACTTAATGATCACATGCTTCGCTTAACAACTGCAGTGATTTGCTTAATGTTCATGGCAAAAAAAGGTTGCAAAATCAAGCATGAGTCTCTTAACAACCACCTGGCTTAGCAATGAAAATTCTGGTCCCAACTGTAGTTGTAAGTCGAGGACTACCTATATTGATATATGTCATAATTGTGATATCCTATAAATTGTTTTTGAACGATGTGTTTACAGACAATACAGAGTGGACCTCAAAGCCCACCAGAATGTGGTTGCCGGGGAGATTTTGGATTTCGAGGTTATCAAGGCCCACCTGGACTTCCAGGACCTGCTGGAATCCCAGGTAAATAATTAGAAAACAATTGTACAATGATGAACACTTAAAGGGGTTGCTTGGTTTCTGTGGCAGTTTGCATAGCAGAAAAGATGTATTGAGCTTCTTGCTGCATCAAGTCTCAGTGTTCTTGCGCTATTACTCTAAATGGTGCACCACCTGGAACATCTGGAATACTGTAGTGGCATTCCTTACCCTGCTCCTTTCCTACTGTATTCTCTTGGCTTATTCCTTCAGTCTCTTAAATCAAATTCATAGTAGCAGAATTCTAGATTCAGAAGCAGCCATTTAGGCCAGTGCTTCTCAACCTCAACAACTTAAAGATGTGTAGACTTCAACCCCCAGAATTCCCCTGCCAGCATGCTGGCTGGAGAATTCTGGGTGTTGAAGTCCACACATTTTAAAGTTGTTGAGGTTGAGAAGCACTGAAACACTGATTTAGACCATTGATTTTTCCCATAAATGGCTGTTCAGATTCTGCCCAAAGACATAAAGTAAATGATAGACCTTCACCTCGGTTTGGAATCTGCTAGCTAGGCAGTCTCCCTGTGTACCTTGCCACTAGCTGAGCTTCCTGGTCCTGTCAACATTTGGCCTTTTAAAAATTAAATTTTAAAACATTGTGAAACTGATGTGCTTCAGTGCAAAATACCAAATAATGGTTGACTCTGTCATTTTGCCCACCAGTACCCGAAAGGACATGGGAGATAAAGTGGTGGCAACAACCATGCTGGTAAAATACTGCCTTGTAATTGCTTAAATTGTCCATGTCAGTAAACAGTGAATTCCCCATCATTTTGCAACTTTCCCATCATTTTGTAAACTCCCCATCATTTTGGAGGAGAGCCCACAGTTTGTTCTCAGAACCCCAAAGGGCCTACCATCCACCTAAAAGTTTAGGGATCCATGTTGTAATGTAACACCAATAACATGGTGGGAAAGGGATCAGAATGTTCTCCTAAGCAATATTTTAATGCTAATATAGGTAGTTATGACAGCTTTGCCTTTGCAATACCCTGTTTGTGTAAGAACCAGGTGCACACTCAAAGTTGCAAAGAAGTCTTTGGATTGTGCCAGTTTTTTCTCCTACTCTTTTTTTTTAATTTGATTAATCACAGCAGCAGCAGTTTTCATTCTTGCCATGCAGATTTTTTTTTAGTTCATTGTAGCCCTTTTAATAATTCTTTTATTACTGAGCTGAATAAAATGTTTTTATAACCAGCTTTGGAGGGCAACAGGTTCAAATAACATGACTATTTTGATATGTAACCAGAGTGAAGACAATTGATTACGGTATATAGCTAAACTGCAAGCCTTAACCAAAATGCAATATTAGATTTCATTGATATCAACAGCAATGCCCAAAAATTCTATGAATTTCTTGTTTCATATCACGTATCTATAAACGACTGAAGACATGAGAAAAAAAATGTAATGTAATAAAATGATGTAGTGTATTAAGTTAAAAACATGAAAATGTTCTTCAGAAGATACTGATATAATTCATCAAGTAATTAATTAGGTACTTTAATGAGAGGCAAATGAAGAAAACAATTCTATTACTATGGTTCAACTTTAATTATGTTGCAACATACTTACACATATGTAAGTTACAACAGCACTGAAAAAAGTTATTTATGATTGCTCCTCATACTTATGACTGTCGCAGCATTCCCACAGTCACATTATCAAAATTTGGGCACTAGATAATCAGCAAGCATTTTTAATAGTTGGAGTATCCCAGATTTGCCTGATTGCCATTTGTGACCTTCAGGTATGAAAAATGGGAACCACAATTAAATTCCAGTTATGATGATTTTTTGCTCATGCCTGTACACAAGAATTGGTCAACTAACGGTCAGCACTAAATTGGTGCTAGAGAAGAGCCAGCGGAATTCAAGAGGAGCTGGACTTAGATTGTTTAGATGTTAGATGATTCTAGGCTGATTACTTGTTTGACTCTGCCCTAAGGCTCTGCCTGCTCCTCTCCTATCTCTTCTCAGCTGGCTTACAATAGGCAAAGTCAATGGGGGAACTGAATTCACTTAATGACCATGTGATTCACTTAAAACTGCAGTGATTCATTTGACAATCATGGTAAAAAAGGGCATGGGGCGCAATTCACTTAACTATTGCCTTGCTTAGCAATGAAATTCTGATCCCAGTTGTGCTTGTAAGTCGAGGACTGCCTATACCGTGTGCATAAGTGTGAGCATTTTTTTGTAGACTATGTTCTAATTGGGTAATGAGAAGACAGTAGCTCGTGCTTCTGAATGGTGCTGTAGAGGTTTAGCAATTCCACACTCAGAGATTTTGTAACAATCCCAAAGAGTGAGGAAAGGAGCATGGACCGTAACCCTTGCTCTGGATCAAATCTCGGAATGCTTCTACCTCTGGAGAACAATTTTCATTTCTTTCCCTTCTATCCCGCAGCTCGTGCCTGCCTGGTCAAGGAGGATGAGGCTGGTGTTACCATGATGCCTTGTCAATATTTTCCTGGCACCAGAACCCTCCAAAGGGCTGAGTTCCTTAACTGCCAACTGCCTATTTTTGACTTGATTTGAATGCTTTTATACCTTCTGTGTTGATGCCCTGGGAAATCATCAGTTAGTTAGCACTTGATTGTAACCTGTTACCATAGTCTTCAACTTATGACCAGAATTGAGCCCAAAATTTCTGTTGCTAAAGAGGACAGTTGTTAAGTGAGTTTTGCCCCATTTTATGGCTTTTCTTGTCACAGTTGCTAAGTGAATCAGTGCAGTTGTTAAGTTAGCAACATGGTTGTTAAGTGAATCTGGCTTTCCCGTTGATTTTGCTTGTCAGAAGGAAGCAAAAGATGATCACATGACTCTGGTACACTGCAACCGTCATAAATGGGAGTCAGTTGCCAAATCTCTGAATTTCAATCACAGGACAATGAGAATGCTGCAATGGTCATAAGTGTGAAAAACAGTTATAAGTCACTTTTTTCAGGGTCATTGTAACTTCAAACGGTCACTAAATGAATGGTTGTAAGTTGAGGACTATCTATATAAGATTTTGTCCTGAAAATGTACAAAAAAAAAAAAAAAAATCCTAGGACAGAAATGAAGGAAATTCACCTATTGTCCAAGAAAGCCACTGTTATTATTGGTTCATCAGTACAGTTTTCCTTCTCAACATACCCTTATTTTTTTTAGGCCAGTGCTTTTCAACATTAGTGATATTAAACTGTGTGAACCTTGACTCCCAGAATTCCCCAGCCACCATGTTTAAATATTCAGTTCCTATCAAGTTTCTTCTTATCTACCCCTGCCCTTTTTTCTACTATTTTAGAAAGGCTATCTGGTCCTCAGTACTTACGAGTGCTCTAGATATATTGAACCATAATTTCCATCATCCCCGGGCATTGGTGGTTAGGGAAGATGGCTGCTGTAGTACTAGAATATATATCTAGAGGATACCAGAATGAGAAAAAATAAATCTAATTTAGTCCAAAGGATGAAAACAAACTTGCATGAAGCCTTGTAAAGCTTGTATTTCACTGAACAATCTATTGATTGACTGCCCAAAGGAAACCATGGGAACAATGGAAATAATGGATTACCTGGCACAGAAGGATCGAAAGGTGACAAAGGAGACAAGGGGGACTTGGGACTCAGAGGTGAGCGAGGCCATCAAGGACATAAAGGAGAAAAAGGTTATCCTGGCATCCCGCCAGAGCTGCAGGTAATTTTCCTTTAATTTTCATGACAGCATGATTTTTCCAAAAGTGACTGCCCATTGCATAAATTTATGGATGGGTTTGTTTGTTTACCTGACTATGATCCCGAATATTTGTGGGTGGGCTGTGTCAATACTTTGAAGCAGTCCAAACAAGAAGCGCCAACTAAGAGTACACAGGTAGTCCTCAATTTACAAGGGCAGTTGTAACACGACATTAATGGTGAGGTTACAATATTAAAGGAATGTTGCAAGTCTGAAAGTACATCTCTCCTGCCTCACCTTTACAACCCGGCAATCACGTGACTGGGATTCAGATGCTTGGCAACTGACTTGCACTTATGATGGTTGCAGTGTCTCGCAGTCACGTGATCACTATTTGCAACCTTCCCTGCCAGCTTCCCACCAGCAAAAGCTGGCAGGGAAGATGAGAAATCGCTCCCATAAATTGCTCCCACTGTTTTTTCTCCTGAGGACCCCGCGATAGATGATGAGATTGAGGGATCTCATGCAACAGAGCACCTACCTGCTTACGGCACCCTCACCTGCACTCTGTAGTGCCGATAGGCTCTTGCATGGCACTGCAACAGTCCTTCCCACATCTGGCCAACCTTATGCCATGCTACACTCCTCTGCCCAGCGGCACTCCATAACACTCATCATAAAGGGTAACACTGAATTACCCAGCCAGTGGGTAATAGTCAAGGACTATTTGTACATTCTGGACACCCCTGCTATCACTATTGGTGCACAGTTTACATTTTTGTTTGTTTGTTAAAGCCAAAGTAAAACTGTCAAGACTTCTTTATTCTCTCCATGCTGGAGCCGATCTGACAAATCCCCTAAAATGTAATGCTTCTTGTGGCTGAGATGGCACGAAGGGATCTCCACAGACTCAGCTGCTATGTTAAAGTGTACAGTAATCTTAAACGGAGTTGTTTGTGTTTTAGACATCCATCTAGATGTTTTTCTTTCTGCGTATGAGTGTTTCTCTGTTCGTACATAAATCAATGGCAGTGTTGTTAGTCAGGTTGTGCACTGGCCCAGATCCTAGTGATACATTTAGAAAATTAAAGTTTCTCTCTCTTTCTCTCTCCCCTCTCCTCCCTCATCAGCTAAACTGGGAAAGAAGTTGATACAGAATTGACTGCTTTCAACCATTTATTTATTTATTTATTTATTTATGAGACTTATATACTGCTTTAAGTGCAAGCACTCTCTAAGCGATGTACACCAGTAAGCAATGTATATATATATATTACATTGCCCCCAACAATCTGGGTCCTCATTTTACCTACCTCAGAAGGATGGAAGGCTGAGTCAACCTTGAGCCGGTGAGATTTGAACCACTGACCTGCTGAACACAGTCAGCTAAAGTGGCCTGCAGTACTGCACTCTAATGTCTTCCAATCTGCCTTTCTCCTGTTCTTTAAATGCTAACTCTATTTGCATAGGTTGCATTTATGGCTTCAATGGCAACCCACTTTAGTAATCAGAACAGCGGAATAATCTTCAGTAGCGTGGAAACCAACATTGGCAATTTCTTTGATGTAATGACTGGACGATTTGGCGCTCCAGTGAATGGTGAGTACAGTGCATTCTGTATGAATTTTGTGCAAAAGAAACAATAATTTCCCTTGAACATTCTTTATTTAATCAAGCAGAACTTTTCCCCGTTGAAGCTTCCAACTGATGTTTTTTACTTTGGATCGAACACAAAGGCAAACATTGTGATTTTTTCTAAACATATCTTCTTGATAGATTGAAATATGACGTCCATGGCTTATTATTATTTTTGCAGAATCTAAATATAACATTTTGTGATTGCTTGTTCAGAAAGGGTGAATTCTGACAGATTCTATAAAAAATAACAAGAACTTCTGTTTGGACCCTTTTTAAAAAAAATAGGAAGTTTTTTTCCCTTTATTGCTCTTGCGTAGGCAATTTGCATGAATGTAACTTACAACTAAGAAATGTCCTTGTGTTAATTGCCTATAAAATTTCAACAGGAAATAATGGAAGGTACAGTACAGGGAATAAAAAAGCCAATATATGATTTTTGCAAACTTATTTATATCTGTCCCTTATATACTGCTGTACTCTGTATGGATTCCCAGCAATTTACAATAAAGCAGTAAAACAATATTGAATTAGGACAATACCATGGTAATACAGTAGAGTAGAATAATACAGATGGCATGCATTCATAATTTCTTGAGTACATTTTATGGATTTCTTAGAATTAACTCAGATTTGCTGTACATACTCAGTAATCTGATTCTCCAGATTAGGTTATTGATCAGGTTCTTTGCATGTTGACAAAGTCTCATTGGGATGCGGGCAAAATATCTTTTAGAAAAACCTGATCAATACAAGAACCCAACTACTAAATATATAAAGTTTTTTATTAGCTTCTAATAAGTAATAACATTTCTTAGGCTCGAGACAATATCAAAACAGAAACTGTAAAAAGTCCAAAAATTAGATTTTGGAAACCCAGAAAATAACATTATTCTCCCTAAAACTTTTTAAAGGCAACGTAGTTAAGCAACTATCGCTTTTACCACACTGTAATAAATTAAACAGTGTGCATTTATTAATCATTGCTTTTTCTATATGCCCACATTCACTGGTAAAGATAATACTAGACTGGAAATGAGATCTGTCAGTCACAAAAATATATCCATCTTTTTATACCTCTCTTTCTCCACTTCTTCAATTTATGGAAAATTTGTGGAGCTTAAAAAATGTACCAAATTGGCATTAAAAAAGAAATGAAAACCTTTAAGGTTCCAAAATAGTTTCTAAGCTTCAGGACCAGGTTACCTCATATTGGATTGTTTCAGAGATGAAACAAAATATTTTGCAAGTGTGGATATTCATCTTAGACAAGAAGATGAATGAATTCTTAACAATTGTGGCTAAATGTGTGTACTCTTAAGTGGGAAGGGATTCTTATTGTATTTGGTAAGTATTAGTTCTGAATATATGTACAGGTAGTCCACGACTTACATAGTTCATTTAGTGACTGTTTGAAATTACAATGGCACTGAAAAAGTAATTTATGACCGTTTTTCACACTTATGACTCTCGCAGCATCCCCATGGTCATGTGATAAAAATTCAGATGCTTGGCAACTGACTCATATTTATGATGGTTGCACTGTCCCAAGGTCACATTATGAGGTTGTTGAAGCAGCTGTGAAGGAACATTTATCTTGTATCTGTGCCATTCAATTATTCAATTGTACAACATATTTTCTCTCTTTCCTTCTAGGGGTTTATTTCTTCATCTTTAATATGATGAAGCATGAAGATGTCGAAGACGTCTCTGTGTACTTGATGCATAATGGCAACACAGTATTCAGTTTATACAGGTGTGTACGGTGCATTTGAGGCTTACAAATATGTGAAATAAATTTGGAAGAGGAACTAAAATTCAGGGTAGAGCACGTGAGCTGCCTTCTAAGGTTCTCAGCTTCAGTCCCTAAAACAGGGGTCCCCAACCCCCAAGCCGTAGCCCATTACTGGGCTGTGTCTTGTTTGAAACTGGGCCACAGTGCATGCAAAGCTCCACTTATGCGAGCGGAGGGTGCTCGTGCATGATGCTCCATTTGCACAAGTATCATGCGCAAGCACAAGCACCCTCTGCTCACATGTGAACCTTAATTTGCCTGAGTGTAAGGTGTGCGCACCCACTACTCACACCAGTGGAGCTATGCACACGCATGTGCGCCTGCCACTCACACGCTCCCCTATCCCTGGCTGGGGCACCAAGGTGGAAAGGTTGGGGATCGCTGCCCTAAAACCTCCAATTTTAAAAAGAAATGGGTTATGGGTAAGGGGACAAACCACTAGAGTAGGGGTGACAAACTGCCAGCCCATGGGCCGGATGCATTTGTAGCTGTTTGCAGCATCCTATGGTCATGTGACCATGATTTATATATTTTTTCCCCCAGTATATGTTTACTTCCAGTTTCTGGCACAAAATGCCCATTATAGACAATGGGTCCATTTAATGGTTGCAGACTTCCTTTTTTAACATTATCGTAACAGCAAACAGTCGCTAAATAAGGCAGTTACTAAATGAGGACCACCTCTAGGATTGCAACAATGCTTAAAATGTGAAGAACAAACCAGTTTACCTTTTGCATCTCTGTTCTTAGCTACGAATCCAAGGGAAAATCTGACTCGTCAAGCAATAGCGCAGTGCTTAAACTTGCCAAAGGAGACGAAGTGTGGTTGCGGATGGGCAACGGGGCACTGCATGGAGATCATCAACGCTTTTCCACTTTTGCTGGGTTCCTTCTTTTCGAAACCAAATAGGTTTACTCACTGGAAATGAAGTACAATATTGCTATTCGGTTTCCCTGCTCTTTGGATTAGCATGGGAACATAGTAAAATCCCAGGGTCTGTCTTGACACCAATATGCTGTGAACTATGAAACATGGTAAGAAGAGGTTAGGCCTGAATTTATATATGCCCTTTTATGACATTTTGCCTCCCACTGCACATTCTTACCTTCTTGCTAATGGATACTGAATAGTTACCAAATGCCTAGTCCTAGTAATTTAATAGAGTGATGATTATAGCCTCTTCTTTTTCCATTTTCAACCAGCAATTTTTATATGATCTTGTGCTCTAATGGATATTGCATGTACAAACATTCAGATGGGATATCATTGTATCAACAAGTCATATGTGTTTGGAAGCTTCTGTATTTTTAAATGCAAAAATATAAATTCAGGTAGTCTTTGACTTACAACCATTCTTTTAGCGGCCGTTTGAAGTTACAACGGCAATGAAAAAAATGACATATAACCAGTCCTTGCACTTACAAGCGTGGCATCACCCTCACAATTACATGATCAAAATTTGGGCACTAGGCAACCGTATATATTTATGACAATTTGAGTGTCCTGGGGTCACATAACCACCATTTGCAACCTTCCCAGTCAGCTTCTGACAAGCAAAGTCAATGAGTAGAAGCTGGATTTGCTTAACAACCACATGATTTAACAACCATTGCAAAACAAGTAATAAATTTGGGCACGACTCATTTAACAACCACCTTGCTCAGCAACAGAAATTCTGATCCCAATTATGGTTGTAAGTTGAGGATTACCTGTACATACCCGTCTCCATTCTGCAATCATATTATAACACGGGGATATACTTACACTATATATGCATAAATATATCAAAAAACAGGGAAATAACATTTAGAAGGAGACCAGCTGCATTTTTTCAGACAGCTTTATGAAAAAAAGCAAACGCTTTCCAGATGAATCCAGTGAATCTTGACTATTGTTAGCAAGTAACTCTTAAAATACCACATAAACAACTGTGAGATTTTTCCTCTTGGTTTAAATAATTGATTGAATCCTGCATTTAATGTTTTGAATGGGTTTAACATAGGTAAAATTGAATTGGTTGGCTTCAAACAGATAAGTGCAACAATCTCAAAATGTGCATTTTTGTATGTTTGTGTGTCTATATTCTGTGGTCAATGAAGTGTATCCTGCTTATTTCTGTCACTTTGACTGAAGATTTGCTATAGATCTTCTAATTTCCACTTCTTCTCAGTCTTTGAAAAATAAATATATCAGTTTTAGGTCTGATTTTTATTTTCATCCTTTGTGAAAGCATTTTAAGAACAAGCTGATTAGATTCTGGTAAATTATTCATTGGCAGAGCAACAAAGGATAGTCTTTTTGAAGCTGGTAGGCTATATACAGTATTACTGCGAGACTTAAGTCTTTTAAATAATGTTTTTAAGTATACATTAGCACATTGAATATTTTAGACTTAGTAGGAATTGCAATCTGTAGTAGATGTTCTTTAAAAAATGTAGCCTTCTTTAGAATGCATCAAAGAAGAATGTAACCTTTTTAAAATATATTAGCAAGATGATGGCATGCTTTCAAAACATAGTTTCACTCTCTTATTCGTTTACTAATAATAGTATTCTGATCCCTGTTCTTAGTATGGATGTCTTCTGAATTTGTTTTTATGTGTTTCAAGTATTTGTTTATTTTTGTACAGAACACTTACTAAATAAAGATCATTTTGAATAAGTATTTTGTGCACTTATGATTGTAATTCCAGGCACAATCATAATGGTCTGATCCCATATTAGGTAGCCTCATATCAAAGACAATTAGTAACTTGGCTTTCAAACAAATTATACTTAGGGTGCTTAGAACATATAATTATACGTTCAAACCCCTATTCCAAATGCAGGTAGCCCTCGACTTACAATCAAAATTGAGTCCAAAATTTCTGTTGCTAATCGAGACAGTTGTTAAGTGGGTTTTGCCCCATTTTACCTTTCGTGCCACAGTTGTTAAGTGAATCCCTGCAGTTGTTAAGTTAGTAACATGGTTGTTAAGTGAATCTGGCTTCTCCTTGACTTTACTTGTCAGAAGGTCACAAAAGGTGACCACATGACCTTGGGACACTGCAACCCTCATAAATGAGTCAGTTGCCAAGCTGTCTGAATTTTGATCACCTAAGTATAGGGAAGCTGCAACGGTTGTGTGAAATAAGTCACTTTTTTCCAATACTGTGTAACTTCAAACGGTCACTAAACAAACTGTTGTAAGTTGAAGACTGCCCGTACATAGAATCTGTCATCCTTCACTTCCTGAACAATGGGTGGGATGAAATTTCTTCTAGGGCTAATAGACGAGGCTCAGCCATTCTCACCTAAATGCAATATTCTTCCCAAGCAGCTATGTACCGTTTCCCTTCTCCTCCTGCAATGCAGTTTTCTCAGGAAAACTACATCTGCCTATAGTTCACTTCCTGTAAGGTAAAAGATAAAGGAGATCCTGTGGATTTTAGTCAGCTAGTCATTGCCAACTATAGGGAGTGGTGCTCATCTCTGTTTCAAGGCCATTGAGCCAGTGTTGTTTGAAGACATTTCCCATTATGTGGCCCGCATGATATCATATAGCGCTGCCACTTTCCATCAAAGTGGTACCTCTTTATCTACTTGCATCTGCATGCTTTTTAACTGCTAGGTTAGCAGAAGCCGGGGTGAGGATGGGCTGCCAGCTTTCCAGCCAACAAGCCCAGCGTCTTAACCACTGAACCACTGCACCACCTTATCACCTCCTATAGCCAAAATATTTTGGTAGTGCTGCAGAATCAGGACCTTTCACTCAGGTCTCTGCGATCTTTGAGAAGAGGATTCAGCTTTAATCAAGAAACAAAATGAAACTGACTGAGCTAACTCTGAACTGCAACCTTCAAGGACTAAAAAGACAACCTAAACAGAAACAGAGAGAACAGAATTTATCTAAGAGGATGTGGGAAGTCAGCCACCCCAAAGAAGGAAATATTAAAAGAGCAGAATATTATATTTCCTCAAAGGAACTTAAAGAGTGAGAAAAGCATGCCCAGTTTTTCTTAATAGACCAAAGTCTCCCTCTCCCAAGCAGAAACCAGCTCTGTAGAAATGCAGATGTAAATAATCCATTCAGGAAGGTTGAAGCTAGAAGATTAAGAAGACACCTAAAATCTATATACCCCACCCAAACTCTAAGACGACATAATAGAATTCACCCACAGATGCCAAAGTGGCACACTCAGACTTAGGTCAAAATGTATGACACAGGAAATACAAAGCCTTAAACAGGAACAAGAAACAAACTCAAGAGTCCCAGAAGGTATAAAACCCACTCCCTATATGTGCTTCCTCTCTTTTCTTCCAGAGCCATATTTCTGTCTGGCTCTCCTCTTCAATAAATTGCAACCTTCTTTCTAAAGCAGTCGCCATGTTGTTTATTCCCACCTTGGAGTGGACCCTGATGAAGACTATGGAAAGATTCACCCAGAATCCTCTGAAAGGGCAATAATAAAATCAAATCATTCAATCTCTTTATGAAGTATAACAGTAGTCCACAACCTGTGGGCCGTGGCTACTTGGCCACCGGGCTGCATGAAGGGATGGCCAGTGCATGCCCCCCACACTCACACTAGCAGTGAGCATCTCGCTGGCACTAGTGCCACCCTGCCCCTGAGCGGGGCAGTACATGAAACCACGCCCCCTCTGGTCTGCAGAAAAAAACACTCTCCACGGAACCGGTCCCTGGTGCTCAAAAAGTTGGTGTGTAGGCAATGCATGATGCGGTTCACGCATTGCCCACACACCAAAAGAACCGGATAGTGAGCAATACAGCTGTGAAGAAATTTCTAAAAATGAAGCATTCAATTCTCCAGCCTCAATGTTTGATTGCTATTAGCAAAAGTACATATCTTTTCGGTGAAATGCCAGTACTTCCAGATAAAGTGGAAAACTGATTCTCTGGACCATCAGAATAAAAGATCTGTCTCATTTATATTATAAAATTTGAGAAAGAAAAAATGCCTTATATTTTGTGCCAGCTCCGTTTTACTTAAAATCAAGACAAGAAATAATTATTTAGCATATGCATATCATACATGAACTAACAATATATATTAATATTTCATCTAGATTAATAGAATCAAATAAAATATAAATGTTAAAAGATCTATGTTCAAATACCGGTGTCTAGGCCACAGCAACCCATGGCTCCGGAGCTGCATGCGGCTCTTTGAGCCTTCCCCTGCAGCTCCCAGCCTCCTCTGCCATTTGCAGAGAGAGACAGAGACAGAGAGAGGAACTTGCACTTCCCTACTTCTCTGTCTGTCTCTGTTTCTCTCTCTGTGTGTTTGTGTTTGTGTGTGTGTGTGTGTGTGTATAAAAGAGAGTAGACTCACGGTGTTCTCTGAAGAGCTGAAAAGCTTTTGGGGCGGGGCTCCTCCCTTTGCTGCATCTCTGCAGGAAGCAGGAAGGGCAGGAGAGAGCTAGCTAGCCCAGCCATGCTGACTCAGGAATTCTGGGAGTTGAAGTCCATGAGTCGTAAAAGAGCAGAGGTTGCCCATCCTGAGCTTGTTGGAGAACAGCTTGAAGCCAGCTTGCCAGGTGAGCAGAAGATTGGAGAGAGGGAGGAGGGAGAGAAAAAGAGAAAGAGAGAGAGAGGGAGGGAGGGAGGGAGGGAGGGAGAGACACAGAGAGAGACCCTTTTGATATCTAAAATGAAGGTAACACTGCATATATCCTTTTTTACCTTTATGAGTAAAAAACATGCTCCTAGATTGGAGCGAAATGCAGAACAGACTGATTTGCAGCTCCCAGTGTTTTGTTTTCGGTGGGAAACGGGTCCAAGTGGCTCTTTGAGTGTTTTGGGTTGCCTACCCGTGGTCTAGGCCATCTAACCATTGGATCAAAATATACATGACAACGAAAATAAAGCTGCTTTCTGCCACCTAGAGGGCACATATAAAGGCACATAAATATTCATATAGCTACACCACACTTTATAAAAACAAATTTTGCATGGGTTAAATCATGTTACTGGCAAGTACTATATTTTACAGCAAGTAATGCTGGTCCAAAATATTTATCTACCTGAGGACACACAGCAAATATAAGCTGCAAATCCAGGCTACCCAACTTATTTTTTACATCTAGAATCTCCTTCTGAAAATAAAAATACCATAATTATAAATAAGATGGTGAATATATTCTAGGGACATGAGGAATTGGCTTGACTGAATGAAAGGGCCAGTTTTATAAAGTGGCTGGCATTGATTGAAGCCAGTGTTTCTTAAATTGTTTTTCCTCTCAGGACCCCTTCACACTTTTAAAAATTAGGAGAACTCCAAAAGAGCTTTTCTCCATGTAGGATATTTTTTATCAATACAGGTAATCCTCAACTTACAACAGTTCATTTAGTGAACATTCAAAGTTATAACCGCACTGAAAAAAGTGAGTTATGACTGTTTTTCACACTTATGGCTGTTACAGCATTTCCATGGTCATATGATCAAAATTCAGACACTTGGCAAATGATTCGTATTTATAATGGTGAGTGTCCCGGGATCACGTGATCACCTTTTGAGAGCTTTTCACAAAATCAGTGGAGAAGCCAGATTCACTTAACAACCGTGTCACTAATTTAACAACTGCACTGATTCACTTAACAACTGTGGCAGGAAAGGTTGTAAAATGGGGCAAAATTCACTTAACAAATTATCACTTAGCAACAAAAAATTGGGACGCTATCATGGTCGTACGTTGAGGATTACTGTATTTACTGTATTAAAAACTGCAATTGACACATTTGACATGATTGTTTGATGAGATTTTAATATTGTATTGTTTTTCAATATAGGCTAAGCTGATAATTTTGATTTTGCAGATCCCTGAAAAGAGTCTTGAGGGACCATGCATTGAAAAACACTCATTAAAGCATGGTGGTTAATTACAACACCTATTT